ACATACACATGCATATATATATATATATATATATACAATACTTACATATGCTAAATAATTATATTTTTATAAATATGTATACAAAGTTAATGCATTTAAATGAGTTTTGAAAAAATGTTTCTACATATACATGTCAATAGGTCTTAAAATTTCAAAATTTGTAAGAGTTGATAAATTTAAAGAATGCCGTTATTGCACACTTTTTATTGTTTACTTACCATATGGGGAAATTTCTTCTTGTATGTGTCAACACTTGCATACTGTTTATGAAGTAGAGTTAAAGCCTTTCCAACATCAAACCAAGGCCACATTAGAATGTCTAACATACCCGGATTACTCCCTAAAATAAAAAAATACAATTTTACGATAAATGTACTTATTTCAATCAAGAAAAAATAATTTTTTAACAATATTAGAAGAAAGGATGTATAAAGAGAAAAAGAGAAAAGTAGAAAAGAAATGGGAAGAGTAGATTTTTACAAACCTCCGAAAAAGGTTGTCTTGCGTACATCAAGTTCATCTTCATATTTTTGTAAGTTATCCATTACTTCGGCGAGAATCTCTTCGAATTGTCTCTTATCCTTCTCAAATAAGATATTCGTAATAATATCTACAATCTGTAAAAACATGACAATTATTAAAAGATCATTTCTAAGGAAGAGGAGGAGAGATCTCAACGTCGTTATGAGCACCTTGGATAAATGATCTATCAGTTCCAAATCGCGACTTTTTGTTTCTTCATTGTACAGAGGAGGCTCAGGGTATTTCTCGTCCAGATAGTTCGCCACTGTGACAGATTCCATTACTACTGTACCGTCCGAATCTACATAAACCGGTACCTTGCCTACTGGATTAATCTAAAAAAAATATTTCCGTACATGCAAGTAATAAAATCCGCATCCAAAACTCTTTCGATTTTGACATTACTAAGTTATTGTTTTAAAAATGACTCAATGCGTACTTGGAGAAACCACTGCGGCTTTTTCTGTAAATTGATATTGACAATATCGTATGGAATCTGTTTCAGACTGAGCACATGATGTATTCTCATAACAAAAGGGCAAAACACCATGCTATATAGACGCGCCCGACCTTTCACTTCCGCTGGTTTCTCGGAACCTAAAATAAAAAGTTTTCTTAGAGAAGAATTGATATAACATGGTCTCCATCGATGACACTGTATGACGTACATCTTATAGACATTCTGCAATTTCCATAAGCATTTACCTTTTGTAAAGCCACTTCCTTTCACAGCACAGACTTAATTGATCATATTACTCACCATCTGCTAGATGTAAGGAATTCATCTGGACAATCCTTCTGGATTTTTATGTAAGATTCTTTAAGATACTGCGCAAATGCCAAATCTTAATGACTATGAAATGGATAGTATAGACTGTATCTGTACTATCCATCTGTACTATCAGCTATCATTTATATAAATATATATTTATCATTTATCAAACCTTTCAAGTAGCACAGCAGCGCTTGCGATAATTGCACTTTTTTAACGCTTTGTTAACACTTCGTAGACATTCGTAAACTCTGTGTGCTACTTGGGGTACTGTAAAAATGAAAGTCATAGCACTGATAATATGTCTTCTAATAGCATTATCTGCTACATATATACGAGAATACCGACAATTACTAATAAAAGGAGCAACACGCAATTATGGAACTTTAAACTTTACTTTTTTATTTGAATATGCTCTCAAGATATCAAAGTATAAGAAATATTACTTTGTAAAAAATAAAAAAATGAAGTTTATATTTTTTACGTCTATTGTCTATTTATACGCCTATTTAATTAATAATTTTGCACTTCGGAACGACTAGACTGGCATCCATTCAGAGCAGGGAATGGAAAGTTATTTTTTAAAAGTTATAATTACTCATTATCGAGTAGAAAAAGTAACAAGTTGCCGTTACTAGTTACCGATTTTTAAAAGTAACAATTACCGTTACTTGAAAATGTAATTTTTCGTTACTTTTCCGTTATTTTTATTACTTTTTTAAAATCGACGACCACCTATCACAGTGGATGGGCCTAAGGGCTTTTTAATCTCAAGCGCTATGAGTGATTTCAGATTTGTGTCCAAACTAGAGATGTAAACAACGGAAAAATCCTAAAATTTTAGGGTAAAAACTCGGAAAATAATGGTTTTTTTTCTTTCGGTTTTGATAGTTTTTTACTCGGATATTTTCTTGCATTTCATGATTTCGACGCTGTACTGTTCCAGAATTTAGTTTTTGCACTTGTCTGTAAGATTTCTGTGTAAAAATAATTACAAAAGTTAAAATATATAGTATATAATGAGTAATATCGTATAATGCTGGTGGCTATAAACAGAGTTGGAAAGTTACTTGTAACGACGTTACTTTTTTGTTACTTTTTTTGGTAACGATTTGGTAACGCTGTTAATTTTTTTTATTAGTAACGAGAAAATAACGACGTTACATCTTCTTTAGCAACGATTAACGAAATTGACCCCGTTAATCTCATATCGTTACTTTTTTTATAGGTCACGGCCGTCACGGACAATAAAATTATAGATACTAAATAAACAAAAAACTTTTTGCCTATTTTTGTTTCAATTACTGTCGTCGCTTTAGCACAGGCCTGTCCAACACTTTGCTCGTGAGTCGAAAACGCTTCCCTCTCTCCGTCATCTCAGTAGAGCGAGACGGAGCGAAAATAACAAAGGATAGGCGTCAAGGCTCCGCCTGAATTCAGGTTGTATATTGAGAAATGGGTTCTCAATATACTTGGCTCCTTTATTCTATGAATCTCGGACAGACCTGAATTCAGGCGGAGCCTCGACGCCTATCCTTTGTTATTTTCGCTCCGTCTCGCTCTACTGAGATGACGGAGTGAAGGAAGCGTTTTCGACTCACGAGCGAAGTATTGAACAGGCATGCTTTAGCATAAGAACACTAAAAACTAAAATATCTATTATATAATAAAATACCACAGAATTAAATATAAGTATATAAAATATTAATAAAAGATAAAAATGTTCAAAGATAAATATGTTTCTAAATATATTGTAGTTAATTTATACTCTGTCTTAGAAGCATGTTTTACCATTTTAAAAAGTGTAATTATACAGAAGATAGATTTATTCATCGATTTTGATGAAATTAGGACAGATTTCCTTATCTCAATAGTCATCAACTTTAACTATTAATCTCAGTTTACTGGACAGAATGACACTTATTTTTCTGCCAGATTCGTTCATTTCTTGCAAAAATGCGTCGAATGACTCTAATAATTTCATCAAAATCGGTTAGTAGTAGGCTCGTCTCATACATAATTACAAAAAAAAGTAACGAAAAGTAACGATTTTTTATCGTTACTTTTCGTTTACTCTTGAATCAATATTATATTGGTATGTTGTTTCAAAATAATTAAAATAGAATACAAAATAATTAAAATATAAAGTACAATTATAATCAATATGCAACAAAACAATGTCTATTATGTTTATAAAGTATTATCTGTATTAATAACATTACTTATTTAGTTTTTAAATATAAAATATCTGTCGTTCAAATAATTATATTGAAATAATTATATGAATTATATTTTTTCATGAATTCTAAATAATTTCATAAAAAATACCGTTATTTTTTATATCTCCAATCGTATGCAAAGCAATGATAAAAGTAACTGTAAAATTTGTTACCGTTACAAAAAAAAATATAACTGCGTTACCGTTACAGTTATCAAAGAAAAAAAGTAACGCTATTACTAGTTATCGGTAAAGTTACCAAAAAAGTAACTTATACAAGTAATGAGTTACTTCCATTCCCTGGTTCCGAGAAGCTAAATTACACGTTACGATGTAGTGTCTGAGTAGTTATGTCTTAAGATGTATGGATCTCGTCAATGTTTATGTGAGCGATAAAACGCAGTCTCATCTGCAATGCCGGCCTTAGTCTTCGTATAATACATTCCACCTCATTTTTAGTCATATCACCGACGAACATGTACTTAATATGATACCTGTCGCTATTATTAAGGAAAATATAAAAGGGTACATAAAAATCTTTCGATAAACACATTAGAGAGTAAGATACTCTCAAATTAATAGCCTATTCGAATTTATATCTTTGTATTTAACATTTAATCTTCTGGTGATAGATTAAAAATAAAATAATTTTAAAAAGTTGTTTCCAAATTAAAAAAAAGCTTAGTCATTTATAAAGGATACAATAAATCGCAAATTGAATCCATGTAATTCAAGGTAGTTTGAGTATGATCAACACGTTCCAACATTTCGTATAGACAGACTGCGAGTTCGACCACACAGTGCGGTCGCTCCGCATTAAACCTCGCCAAAGTAGGGCCGATTAGATGACAGGCGTATATTAACTGTTCCTCGCTGCTTACAACTGGCTGAAGTTTCTCCTTGATAAACCTATAAAAACCAATTATTTATTATTAATTTAATAACAAAAAAAGACAAAATAAATATTAAATATAATCAAATTTTTCTTTTCAATTTTGTCTTAATTTTCTTTTATGGTATACAAAATTTTACTATATATTATAATTTATATTATTTACAAATATATATATTTATAATTACAACTCACTGAGGCATCGTTGTAATTTGTCCTACACCTGCATGATGCCACACGGAATGCGCCAGTGCAAGCATGTAGCTATACTTGTTTTCTAATAGGCTATTATGCGTAATATTGAAGTTAAACATTTGAAACGGTGTCAAGTTATTGTATTGCCAATTGACCAAGCCGGGACTGCTAATAGTCTCCAGTAAACGTTTGTGCAACGCTGACCAATAACATTCAGGTAACGCCGCCAGTAATAAACCAACGCAATTTATCCATAAATGTATCTCGTCTGATGGCACAACAGTATATCTGTGTTTGAATGGGATAGATAGTAAAATTAAAATTATACAAAATTACAGACAGTTTGTTGTTGTATTGTTCTAGAACAGTAGAATTGTAGATCCCTGCACATGCAAATTTTAAGATTTTAATTAAGGAAAAATGATACCCTTTAGCGACAACGTCCAGTAAGAAGTTAGCCACTGCATCTGGAGCAACTGGAAGAGCCATGAGTTCGACGCAAGTCACATATAATGCATGCGCTGCTGGATTTGGGAATTCGTTGAATCTCCAATCGGTAGCAGGAAAGTGAGCCGTGCCAGACATTGCTTTAATACACACACACGATTATTAAATTGATAAAATTAATAACTTCTGATATCATTCGTGGATTGCCTTTTTGTTAAAAAAAAAATTTCAAAATCCATCAAGAAATCTGTGAACGTAAAAATAAATACGGAGAAAGAATTTAGCATTTGCTTCTTATTATATATCTTAATTTTTAATAAATATATTGTAACTAACAGAGTTTATTGTTCGTTTAACTTTATTCAAAGTTCTGATTTATTTTCACTCAAAAGAAGTTTTAAGATTATATAAAATAATGATTTATACATTCTAGTTTATAGAAACACAATTGTAATAGCAAAGCAAAAATATGAATCGTCATATAATAAAATTTTGGTTGCCTACTTTCTACAATCCTTTGAACCAGTCGAATGTAATAATCTAACTCTGGTACCCACGAGACTGCATCGTCATTAAAGCGTGTCATATACATTTGATAAGCTTCGGAAAGGGCCCATCCTGGCGCTCTGATTTCCCTTAATGATCCCAAAACAGCGGATACCAATCGACGTTTTAACAACGGTCGATCTCGCAACTTCTTTTCGTAATAATGTAACGTATTGTAAAGGTATGTAACAGGTCGATCTGAAAATCATAATTGCCTTCAATCAAACAAGATTTAATTAATTTGTCAAAAGAAATCTACTTTGTCTCTAGGTGCATTTTTATTGAACAAAAAGAGAATATGTCTCAACGCTAAATTTTAAGAATTAATTTGCATATCTATTTTTATATTATCTTGTATGGAATAATGATGGATTCATATTCAAGTCTCGGATTCGATTCCATTTCATCCCATATATGTTTTAATTAATAAGAGCTGGAGGCACATATATGTTTTAATTAATAAGAATTAAAAATTTCTTTATGAAAAAATATAAGATTGCGTAGTAATAAAATTGTAACTCGTTTCAGAAACAATCAATAAATATATATATATATATATGTATATATATGTATGTACACACACACAAATATATTATATTGCATGATAGAAAAAGATTTTTTTCTTTCCATCTAGTAAGAATTAATAGTTTTATTAGAGAAACGTACCATGAAATTTGTACAAACAGCCTAAATGTTCCAGTAATATTTCCAAACTCTTGATAACAGGCGGTATCTCCAGATATCGGTGCACTACTATGTCGAAAACTGGTAAGAAACGAAGACATACATTCCCGAAGTACACGGGCAAATTTTGATACTGGCTAGGCCCGCCACTAGTTTGCTCCATAATACCCTCCGGTGCAAACTTTTCTGGGAATTTTCTATGGAAAGCGAGATGCTTCTCATGCCAATTTGATTGTTTCCAATGCTCTGGCGAGTTCTCTTTCACAAACTCTTGTACACGGTTTCTAAATTCAGCCGCTTTCAATAGCAACAATTGTATGATGAAGAAGCATACTTGTGCTTCATTACCCTCTTGAGTTCTTAAAGCTAAACAGAGCACAAGTCGGTCAATGGTTACTATGTTGTATTTCCAAATCATGTCATTAATAGTGTCCACACATTTGTTGACATGCTGGCCGCCAACGCTGTTGGCAAATTCAAACACAAGATAATCGCAGAATTTTCTGAGATGAGCCGACAGCGCTCTAGCGCCTATTCTCTCGAGAATTTTGTATGCAATAGGACTAATGCGATCAGTCTCGAGTATCATTTTCCATAGAAGACACAGAAATAATGGTGGAGTACCAGGGACAGAGAAATGCGCAATGATGTCATTCTCATTGTTCATAGATGCCCAATTTCTGTATTCTTCCTCGACCGCCTTCTTTATTTGTTGTTTGTTTTCTTTCGCCACACTGTTCTGCTGGAAGAACTCGCTCAACACCGGCGGAAAACACTGAAGGGTGTGATTAGCCCAAGAATGCGGTGTATTTTGCATGATGGTGTTCAACAACTCTTTGCACCACGTGCCGCTGAGACTGTCAGCGCCGGTGCCAGTTACATGCATGGATCGTGCCAGTGTCAATACTAACGCTCGGTTAAGTTCTTCTGATTCCGCAGACACAAGGGTTTTCGGCTCGGATAAGAATCTAGACAGCTGTGGTTGTACTTCCGCAGAGCCCAAGCCGGTAATTAATCGTAAAGCTGTGCTTTCGACACACAAGTGAAGCTGCGTTTGGTTGGTCTGTGGTACCGCTGCGAGACTGTGGAGATGCGACAGCAGCTGTACCCTGTAATGTGGTTGAATATGATGCATCCTGTAGCTAAACATTTCCAACAGCGTATATAAAGTTCCCCACGCGTGCGATTTGAACACTGTCGGCAACAATTGGCTGATAAATCCTTTAATACCGAGACTCTCAATTTCCGTGTATACCAGTAGTCTGCTGTAAGTTTCGACTAACGCTGGTGCCAATGCCATGTTGCTCTTTGATTGTGCTAACTTGATGACATGCGTGACAATGCTGTGAATTAAGCTCATCTTGGAGTGCACGGTTAAAGAATCCAAAATAGACATTGAAAGTGGCGTTGTTGGACCATTGGCTAATGCTGCATTATTTTGTAAATTTTGTAAAGGTTGCTGTTGCTGATTCTTTTGGGTACCCAGGATGGTATCCACCAGTGCAGCCATTGGTCTACTAAAATACTCCTGGTTCGTCGAATATGCATTGCACAAAAGTGCAATGCGATAATCCGAACCCATACAGAGAGAAGCATTTGGCATGACTAAATGCTGCAAGAATTCGTGGTGGACTTTCAACGTGTGCGGTATGGGTCTGTGAATATTAGTGCCGGGTTCAGTTTGAGCCTTTTTCAGTAAATGTATCCATATGCACGTTATCGCCATTTGATGAGTGCACAGAGCTTGGGTATAATCTGGAACAGGCAGAGGTTCTTTTTCCGGATAGAGAAGATCATACAGTTTCAGCACAGGTAAAAAATTCGACAACGGATTTCGTTGAATGCTGCCCGAGATGAATTGTAGAAGGACCCACATCAAATGGTCTCTGCCCTTCCTCAATTCTCTGCCCGCTAATTTATCGTGTATCGCCATAACAATACTCGGAAAACAGGCAAATTGGAAGAGAATAAAATAAATAAGTTGTGAAGATAGGTGCAACCACACCCAGTGATTGGCCACTGTTCCATCCATTCCTTCTGCTGGTAGAGTTTCGTTTTCAGATCGTTCCATCGCGAGTATGACGAGTTCAACAAGTTGTTCTTCCAAGACGACGCATCGTTGCTTGTGCTATCATATAAATAAAAATATAAAGAGTTAAAATATTTTCTGATACATAGTTTTATAATTTCAGTCATACAAAACTAATGACAAAAGCTCAAAAACAAGAAAAAAAGGGCTACGCGAACCAAAAAATTATTTTATAAAATTAACATCGTTAATGTAGAAGTTGAAACATAAGCAAAGAAACAATTATATTCTTTAGTTAAGATTTAATATAACGTGCTAACAATAATCAAACAAACGTTTCGATCGCGATCGAATCATTATCAATATTAAAAACATATAATATTACAAACGGTAAAAACAAAACATAATATAAATTTATACTTAGCTCTTTAACAAACGCTGATAACATAAAAACGATTATCGTCCTGTTCACAGTTATAATATAGCTTGAAAAAAGTCGTCGCATGACAATATATAATTGCAGTCAAACATTTATATTATATTTTGTTTTTACCGTTTGTAATATATGTTTTTAACATTGATAATGATCCGATCGCGATTGAAACGTTTGTTTGTTTATTGCTTGCACGTTATATTAAATCTTAACTAAAGGATATAATTGTTTCTTTGCTTATGTTCTAACTTCTATTTTAACGATGTTAATTTTATAAAATAATTTTTTGGCTCGTAGGCCTTTTTCTTTGTTTTTTAAATTTTATGAAAAAAGCTAACATGAATATTTACCTTATTACATATCCGGATTATAACTTTGTTTTTAACTTTATAACCCTTAATAATTCTTGTATTTCATAATTAATTTTAATGTTTCACGTGCTCTAATTTTATCTTACCTGTTTCTGCAAACCAAGCATCGAACAGACCATATCTCTACTATACGGCTGTTCTAGAACATATCTAAGTAATTCTGTCTGAGGCTTAAGTAAATCTGGATCATAAGGTAGATTTCCCTTCAAAGAAAACTTTAAAGTAGTGGGATCCAACAACCAAGGATTAATCAAATAATCTGCATATCCTGTGTGTTCAACCACTGGCAACATTTTTGAGTGACCGACTATAGATACCATTTGGGCGGTGTGTCGAAAACTTTCGACAAAATCGGAGAGCAGTTTTGCTAGTTTCTAAAAAATTAAAATGCATAATGTCGAAAAAAAAAACACAGAATTATACAGCAAAGAATACACTTTTTTCACAAAACCATTAAATGTAACGTTTTACATTACACACACACACACACACACAATTGCATTTTTTCTTTTCAACACTCTAATGTACTTTAATGTTACTTACCCAATGAGGCCAATTTTTGCCGTCGGGATAAGCTTTTTGTATCTCATTAACAATAAAATAGCCTGGTAATAAGCATGCATTTCTATCGAAAATAAATTCAATAACATTTTCTAAAGCCTTAAGTTGCGGTTGTACTGATGCATCTAATCGAGGTGGTATGGTTTGGGCTTTTTCTTTGCATCCCTAAATATAAAACAGGAAAATACATTATTTTTTTAGATTAAAAAAAATATATATTATACATTTTTAAAGATTTTTTTATCTCAATGTTATATAATAAGATTATAAAGGAAATATCTTAAATAAATTAATAATATAATATAGGACTATGAACCACTCAAGTTATTATGTTAGTAAAAATATTTATATCTCTTTCTCAATAATCTAAATTTTGTACAGATGTTTCGACTTCTATCGGGTCATTTTCAATGTTAAATAATATAGTACCGGTAACTTTTTTAAAATTATTACTTACATTGAAAATGATCAGATAGAGGCCGAAAGTTGAAACTAGTGCTCTGAAACATCAGACGATTTGACAGTTCGGACAGTTCGAATGTCAAATAAATCTCAAGTTCGAACGTTAAATAGTTCGGATTGAATGTATGTTCGAACTATTTTAATCTATTTCAGTGTAGCGAAGAAGAGATTCTCTAAACGTCTTATCTATGATTGTCACTATCGTTAACTAGCAATGGCAGGACAATTCTGGAAGAAAGAGTGGTACTTCCCAGGTAGCAAGCTACGTTATTTTGACGTCATTTTGACGTCAAATGACGTCAAATGACGTCATTTTGACGTCAGCTTGCTACCAGGGTTAATGGCTATCATTAGTTAACGATAGCGATAATCATTGATAAAACGTTTAGAGAATCCCGTAACTGAGCTGAAAGTTCGAATTGATTACATTTCGAACACAGACATAACAATCGTCCTCAGGATCAACCTGAATATGACTGAATATGACGCGACTTTTTCTTTTTGACATTTTATAATATTTGTATATTCAAGTCTCGTGAAAAACTGCTCTTTTGTTTCCAAGGCATATATATTTGTTTACTGTTCAAACCGTCTGAACTTCAGACATAACAAATTGACATTTCATACTGATCACTGCTTAAGCTCAAACTGTTCGAACTGTCCGAAATATTCAAATTAGATGCTCATTTTTTTCAACTTCGAACTATTCGAATAGATCGAATATTCAACATGTTCGAATCTTTTGTCTGAGCCCTAGTCAAAACGTCTGTACAAAATTTAGATTGTTGATATATTTTTACTCGCATAATAACTTGAATGGTTCATATATAGCTCTATAGGGAGGATCCCGTTTGCCTACAGTTCTGATTGTACACACCACTCATATCAACTGGTGCCTAGTAATTTTTCACTGTTTTGCCAATGAGATTATTTTATTTTTAAATTAGCCAATCAGCGATACATGTGTGCAATATGCGATGTGCGCAATCGGAGCCCTTCCGCTCTATATTATATTATTAATTTATCTAATTAGTTGAACCGTTATTTTTTATTGAATTTTAAATATCTAAATATTTTATATGCATATAAATATTACATTAAAAATACAAAATAAGTCGTTAGAATTATTGAGAACTTACTTTCATGATTTCTCTAACTCCTTTATAGTCGACTCCGCCAAGAATATGTTTAATGAGAACAAAACACTCGACCCAAAAATCTTCTAATTGATACTGTAATTTATCGCAACTTAGAATACATTCACATACTAGTCTGTAAAAAAATTGAGAAAATAATACAAAGACTTAAAGAGACACGAAAGAGGAAAAGCATTTAATTAAAATATACCTAGCAGGTAAAAAATTTGAATGTACTAAATTTTCTAGAAGCGACAATAATAACTGCAATCGTCTGTGATTTGTCATAGCTGCAGCCATTGATAAAAATTGACGAACTGCTGCTTCTTGTTGCTCCTTTGTCAACCCAGTCATAGCTGTCCTCAATTCTTGATGCCATGCCGCTACTTTATCAGTCTCTTTCTTGGGATGATGAACAAGAACACAACTGAACGCTTCTTCTATCGCCTCTACTTTCTAAAATTTATAAAATACAAATATGATGAAAATAAAATCATCCTATATGTTCGATTATTAAAATTAAAACTTTGATGTAGCAAAATTATGAAAAGAATACACGTATCAAAAAAATAGCAGTATTTCTTAATATTTACCAAAATATCATTTAAGATATTTGTAATTTGAGTTTCACTGCTCATCTTTTCAACCATAACATATCCTTGACGATGAAATTTTTAATTAATATGTTTTGTCGTCCGTTTGAAATAAATCAATATTCAATATTGTAAGATAATTATCTACTATTATAAATAAGAATTTATACTGATATACCAAATACATCAAAAAGTAATATCAGCATTAATATTTACGGCATTTCTGATTTCCCCTTGTTTGGTTTTCCGGCTCAAAATATAGAGTGACAACATCATGCAAAAATAACGGATCACTAGGGGCAGTGTTGCCAGATTCTGGCGAAGCAGTTTCCCTATTGGGACATGAAAATTTCCCTAGTTTTCCCTAGTTTTCCATTTAATTCATAAAATTCTTGTTTTTTCCAAATTTTCCACTAATTTCCCAAATTTCTCTTAAATTCACAAAATTTTTGTTTCTTTACAAATTTTATTCAAATAAAATCATGAATTATTTTTTATTAATGTATTACAATTTGGAATTATAATAAATATGAAACAGAACACACATATAAAGGAAAATATATAATAAGTACTATAAATTAATGAATATAATATATTTTTATTGTACATTTATTAGATTTAAAAAAAAACAAATAATTGAAATACTATGGCACAGTCCAAACCGGCAACGCTTTTCAAAAATATAGTCGAGGTGACGCAACACCCGAGACGAGAGGGAACACGTCCGATCCGCTCGAGTGGTTTACAAGAACTTACCAAGAAGAGCAACGATAAGAGCACGGTTAAAATCAGTTACATTTTTCAAAAATATGATGTAACACCTGAACCGAAATAAAAACATGTCCGACCTGAGCGCCATACGCCGATATGCCCCAAGCCCAAGTCAATCAGCGCGATTCGGACACGTGGTGAGTTGTCACCTACTTATCGACCGAAACCGAGCATAAAACAAAATTTTCATTTACTGTTAAAAATCCCTAAATTTTAACTTATTTTCACAAAAAATTCCTTTTTCCCTATTTCATTTTTTTTTCTTGTAATTCTCCCTAGGTTAGGGAAATTCCCTAGCATCTGGCAACACTGACTAGGGGCCAGTTTTACCAACGCCAGTTAGGGTGCGATTTCTTTCGCTGATTCACTGATATTATCGAGCGTGGTTTGCGCGGGGTGGCACCCAGTTGGACACGGCTCAATTGGACACGAGCCACTCACAGCGCTTGAGACTACAAAGCTCCTAGACACCTGGGGGTCGATTCTGTATCTTCAATCAAGGTGAAAATTACAAAAGTGAGTAAATTTACTAGGTATTGACCAATGAAATTATCAGTATTATATAGTAAATTCACTCACTTTCGTAATTTTCACCTCGTTTCAAGATACAGAATCGATCCCCTGGTCGCTGTGATTTGTGGTGTCCAATCCAGCCGTGATCAATCACCCCGGTTCATGCGGCAGCGGAACAAAATTCCTCTTTTGATTTCCCCTTGATTGGTTTTCCGACTCAAGTTTAGAGTCAGGGTGCCGTTAAGGCCCGTCTACAATACACGGAGTAAGAAGTAAGAGTAAGAAATTGACCAATCACAGTCGAATGTGAGAAGAATAATCGATTGTGATTGGTCAATTTCTTACTCTTACTTCTTACTCCGTGTATTGTAGACGACGCCTAACCAATGAACATATTAGGAGCTGTAAGCTTATTGGCTATCGCATCACATTTTGTCGCGCGGCAAGCGTTTCCGCGTCCAGTGTGCAGGAGCCATAAGGAGTCTACAGACCAGGGTATCAATCATGAAACTTTTTTCCTAGGATGAAAAGGGTGAAAAGTGAAAAATTTCTCCATTAACTTCAATGGTTAAAATTTTCACTTTTCACTTTCTATCCTAGGGAAAAAAGTTTCATGATTGATACCTAGGGCCCTATTCTCGAAAAGTATCGCACACGAAAAACTAGAGAAATGCTACAGTATATGTAACGCATACTATAGTATTTCCCTAGTTTTTCGTATGCGATACTTTTCAAGAATAGGGGCCCTAGTCTAGATTAGAACTAATTTTTTATCTTTGGAATCTATAAACTTGTGGCGAGTCTATCATTTCGCGCGTTATTCAGGCAAGATGGCGACATTGTAGACGTCGTTTTGAGGAGAAGAAGCGGGACTTCGCGGCAGTTTACGTTCCAGAATCGTTTACGACGCAGTTGAGTGTACGAATCATCCGTTTAATCCCGTTATCGATCACGCGACCGCCCGGCGACTCCCGGTGGACACCGATCAGCCTTGCGGAACCGCGACACCATGTCGGACGAGAAGAAGGTAACGCTTCTCCTCACCTAACCTACAAGCACCAAGTATTTACGATACGTTGTGGCGTCTCACGCGCTACTTACTCCAATTGTCCTTTGTTCGTGCAGGAGACAAAGACGGAGTCGGAGCACATAAACTTGAAAGTGCTGGGTCAGGACAACGCAGTAGTTCAGTTTAAAATTAAGAAACATACACCCTTACGGAAATTAATGAATGCGTATTGTGACCGTGTAGTAAGTATTTATCTAATCTTATCCCCATTTTGCTTTTTTCTTATGTTTAGATATCTTTAGCACTATAATAGAGTCATATATATTTATCTTCCAATTTTTTAATTTCTTTAATTGATCTCTTATGAATTGAATTATATCTGGAGTAAAAAAAAGGATCAGAATCAAGACTTGCCAAGTACAAGTCAAATGCTGCTAAAGCCCGTCTCAGACTAAAGATTGAGATTAAAGTTGGGAGCATAGACTGTCACATAACATATAAGACATAAGAACATTAACCAACCAAAATTCAATTGGTCCATTTTCTTATGAATTATTTATTACACAAGAATCTATGATCCGTTTAAAAGCCTGTTCACATTGCTTGCACTTTTTGCACTCAACATCTTTGATTATATATTTATTTTATTTTAAGTTAAAGTAAGTAAAAATTTTTGGAGTTTTTAAGCAATGCTAACAGATTTTTAAGATGAAATTAGAATTTAATCAATTAGACGAAAGACAATTTTTAATTTAGTGAACTTTACTTGATTAAAGTAAAGTTTGAATTCGTCAAATTTTAATCCAATCCTGATCTTATTCTCTTGCCTGATATGGGCATAAATGGAATGCCAAGTATACTTCTCTGATATTTTCATAAATTGACGATTGTTATATTCTATTTGCTGAATTGTTAATGCATCATGCATATATATAGTGCTTTCTGTAGTTTATTATGTTTAAAATATCTATATTTTTTCTATGTATTAAAATGTATCAAAGTATAATATTTTCTGATGCAATATTTTTAAGCTTTTTGGACAGTTTTGACATTGACCAATTACAGTCAAATATTCTTCTCATACCTGACTATGATTAGACAATTTTTACTTACGCAGTTGTAGAATAGGCTTTACATTTTTACAATGTAAAAATAATCAATCAATTGCTCATAAATAGATTTCTAACAATATTGTTACTACTTCACAGGGCTTGGCGATAGCAGCAGTAAGATTTAGGTTCGATGGACAGCCCATAAACGAATTAGACACACCTACCTCACTGGAAATGGAAGAGGGAGACACAATAGAGGTGTATCAACAGCAAACTGGTGGTTTTTCGTGTTGAGATGCAATGCATCGCGTTTACAAATGGACTAAATGAAATTTATCGTTCCAGCAGTGTTTACGTTTGACAGAAGATATGATGTAATAATTTTTTTTATCTTTACTCCGCTCTACATAACAGGAGACTTCGATCCATCACATAATGCACAAGATTCATTTAAACAATTTGTTTAAGTTTAATTTAATTTTCATTATTTTTTCCTTGTTCTCTTAATTTTCCAATTGTGTGTATATTTATTCAAAATATTTAATATATATATATATTTTTTATATTTAGAGGCTCACATTGGAGTGGGGCCCGTTTAACTATGCGATTGACCACAGCTACTCATAGCGCTCGTACAGCAGAAAAACTCCAGGCATCAGCCGCTGTGAGTGCTTGTGGTCAATCACAATGTGTCAAACAGTATCATGCTTCCGCGCATTGTGCCGTTGGTTGAAGTCTCTATTTATCGAAACGGCTGTTTACTATAAGTTTTAATAATTAACACAAACACATTCGAATAGAATCGGTTTAATATGAAAATGTGAGTTTTTGTTACTGCTGAAAGAGAAAGAAGCGAAACATAATAAGTTATGTAAAGGAACACCCATTATACTCCTCGTCATTAAGATCCTTTAAAAATCTTAAGATTCCCTGTGTACGTGGATTTTTACGTAAATTTAACATTGCAACGATTAAAAGCATTCTCATCTTTAGGTATCCTCTTTCTATATTTGTAAAGGGTGTACAGGAAAGTGGTGTTTAGGGCATACATTTTTATTAATGAGTAAGACTGTAAGATTTCGGCTTTCGTTTGCGTTTTACAAAAACCAAATTTCGTACCCATACCGTCATTACAATTTTAGCGTGGCCCAACATTACTTTTTGTATGAGCAATATAAATTGCGAGTTATTTTTTGTAAAGGAAAAAGAATCTTTCAACTTTTGGCAAGCGGCTCCACGCCGTTTTTGATGAGGGCATATTGCATAGCGTACTTAGCAAGGAGGATTGTTATACGATAATTCGTATTTTTCTTTAAGAAACATATATATATATTTTTGTCAAGATTTAAATATTGCTAATGTAAAATGTATTCCGAATACAATTTATTATGTTCGCTAAGTGTAAGTTTTACATAATTGTAAAATACATGTATTTAAAGTGTTTGTGAAAATACAATTTAATAGAACGCCACACTCCAATTGTGCACAAAAGTAGCGCAAACTTCAATGATATAAATCTTTTTATTTATAAATTCCATCAGAGATATCTACTAAATATTAAAAATTATCAATTGAAAAATATAAAGAATAAAAATCTGCAAATTTTTAAAATATAAACAATATTTAAAAAATGCCTATTACGATCAAAGCTGGGGATCTTCATTACTTTTAAATAATTCAATCTTGATATTCCTAATATACACTATATATGTACTTGTATATATACCATATTGTAGTCTTTTTAGAATTGCGCACAAATTGTTTT